GATTCCCATAATCTAACTTTCATACGCTGATAACCATTTTTTATTCCATTTCGCGAGATGATTACAACGTTTCTGGCGCCTCGGAATATCAACCAATCGATTAACTCCAAACCGAATCCACCTAGCCCTCCTAGTATAACATAACTCTTGTCTTTGACACAATAATAACGGCGATATGCAACAACGGATTTATCTAAAGGTTTATCTTGCTCCTGGATATTTATAATAATCTACAAAAGTATAACAAAGACACATTGTCATGTAATTTTTACTTTTATCTATCTAACGAAGATATCATTTATGAATAAATATTTTTGTTATTACTCAGTATTACCTTACCTTTCCCATATGTTTTCCACTGGCCATATATCTAAACGCTGCTTCAATCTCCGATTTCGGAAAAATTTTTGCTTGAATTGGTTTAATAGCTCCATTCTTAAGACCCTCACTCACCATATTGGATAATAAAAATTTATATTTGTGACTGCCATTACACATATTGTCCAGTAGAACGCCATAAAAGCTAATACCTTTCTGAAACGCGGACATGCTTAAAGGATTATTAGAAACCATGTCTACCTTGCCAATCTCCAAGAAACAACCGTTTCGCGCTAAACAGCGAACGGATGCGATTAGCTTTTCTTCCGCCAAAGAATTTAACACGATGTCAACTCCACGACCATGTGTTTGCCACATTATCATTTGTTCAAAACTGGTGTCTCTAGAATTTCCAATGTGTTCGTCGAGAATTGTCGGGAAAAGTCTTTTAATAAAGTCACGTTTATCACTTGTGCCCACGGTAGTGAATACTTCGCATCCTTCATGAAGAGCGAGATTAATTGCCGCTTGTCCAATTCCACCGGTTCCGGAATGTATAAGTATTTTATTCCCTTTTTTCATTTTCCCACAAATATACAAAGCAAAATAGACAGTGCTGTAAACGCAAGGCACCGTTGCTGCCTCTTCAAATGTCCATGCATCAGGTATTTTCCAACAAAAACCTTCATCTTTGTGAACAATATTTGCTATACAACTAGAAAAACATTTTATTTATTTCTCATATGAATATAAAGAATTGAACAATATAGTTTAGAAAAAACATATATAAGTAAAAATACTGTTTAGTTACTTAGTATCACGGAGTCCCATTACGCGTTGGCCATTGGCATCATAACCCACATATTCCATTCCAAGAGGCATATGTGAAAAACATCGTCCCTGGGAATTTAGTTGCAATACTAATTTTCCAGTAGCCAACATCACATCTTTAAAATTCAATGATGAATAGATTACATGTACCAAGTTTTGATGACAAAAATCGATAGACCGATTGTTTTCTATCCAACAAAATGTACTTAAATCACCCCGTACCTAAACAAATTTAAATATTAATTCAGCAATAAAAGTCTTTTTATAATGTGCCATTACTTTTGCATGTATATGTTTATACGTACATTTTGGCAAACATGAGCCGATGATACAAGTTCGGCTGTTAGTTGCGGTAATCGTAAATGTCTGTACGATCCCCAGGTCTTATTAGATCGTAGTACATTAATGGCTATATCTTTTTGTAATTGTTGTAAATAAAAGGAATTTTGTAATGAAAACTTGGGCGCTTTTTCATCTTGAATGAGCACACCTCTGACAATTTCTCCACCTGGCTCTTTTCTCAAGCAATTGACAAACCCAACAAACCGCACTCAAAATCATTTCTCCTACAATTACAATTCTACTAGTTTTATCAATATTGCTTTCATTACTTACAAGCGACTTTAGATCTTCCAGCCAATTAAAATCATCATTATTTATATAAACGGTAGTTATTTTCCCTATTTGAACTTTTTTTTTCAAAAGCACAATTGTTTCCTCATCAGTGCGTTTTTCGAGAATAACATTTAATTTATATTGCTGCAGATATTTGTCGTAGTCAATTACATTGCATCTCTCGCGAGAGAGCAGATAACCACCTTCTCTCAAAAATGACAAAAGTCGTTCTAATGAAATTTGTTTTTTTGTTAAAAGATTGAAACCAGCAACTATTAAAGCTTTGTCGTCTACTGTTCGCGTGTTTATATCTCCAATTAAAATATTTGACGATAGATCTGTCGGATTGAAGCGACTTGGAGATGTTAATAAATTAATATTTGCTTGTATCATGGGCGTATCGCCAAAAGCCTTAAGCAAAAAGGAAGATGAGAGATTATTTACTGTAATACTATCGATATCTTCCACTACTTCGATAGTTTTCACTTTTATAATCTGATGATCTTCAAGTGCAAGTTGTGCGGCTATCCGTATTGCTTCATTTAAAGAAATCGTAGCATAATCATGGTGAGCTACAAATATATGTTTTTCGATTACAGCGTCTTGGACCAGTTTACGACGAGAAATCTGGGTAGCATTGAGACCTCGAATTTCTATTCCGCCAGCTATAATCGTGTCTATTTCTCTATACACTCGCACCGCTAATTCTGTAATAACATATCTAAGATAATATGTTAAGATAATATGCTTTGACAAATTTTCTACTTGTAGTATACATAATTGTCTTACACGAAATTGATAATTATTCGTAAAAACAAAATAGTTTTTTTGACAATAAAAAGGTATTTACGTTTTTCTTCTGCTGATGCTATGTCCTGTTGTAGCTTACTTGTGTGAAGTACAGGATTAATTATTAATTTTTGAATGCTTGTTGGAACATATAAATCTCTAGTGTCGTATCCAATAATCTGCATTTGTAGCATAGTATCCATGAATGTTACCCAATTGCCTGTCCAAGCAATATGTCCTTTATTTCCTGAAATAGATGCCGTCTTTAAGCCACGGAATCCGCCACTGTATTGATAACCGCGTAGTTTTAACTCCTTGTAAATATCTCGATTAGTCATATGTTCTTCTTCGTCATTATTCTGGGGTAATAAATTTGTAGGAATCATGTCCTGTTCCGGATTCAGGGTTTCGTACACTATACCTGTTACTATAACGCTATTTTCTTCGGTTATTTCAAACTTTCCATCTAAAATGTTTTTATTGTACAATACAATTAAACACATTATATGATCATGTTAATTTAAAATTATTT